CACACACACACACACACACACACGCTCAACCTTGATATGTTCACCAGATTCTAAAAATCAAAGCCTGAAGCCCGTCTAGACATCAACCTCCTCCTACAGAATCTACTTTACCAGAACAATAACCGAGACAAAGACTCACAAATATGACACGACATTGAAAGACAACCCTCATACTCAAACACAGCCCAAGAGAGGGATACTTTGAAATGAAAGCCGTTATTACTGAATTTCTTGTTTGCCTGCTCACTTCTCGCAGCTTCTACACACACGCTCCTAGGATTACATCTCCTAGAGGCAAAGGGATGAGGAAAGGGACAAAGGAAAATCCCAGGTATACAACTGCCTGCTATCAAAAAAGTTAATAACTGCATTTCTCTTGACACGAGGAGATTATTAAATTTGAACCCTTGCTGACTGACCAAATAAAGTCCTTCCCTCCTCCTTCCTCCCGGACATGAACTGTGCTGCTTATAAAGACGACAGCACAGTCACCGGGGCACGTCTGTTTAAAAAGCTTCTCTGAACTGCCTTGAGTTCTTGTTGCTGAATTACTCAGAGTTCCTCCAATGCTCCACTACACAGACTCAAAGAGCAAGATCAATTTATTGAATCGTAGGAAGCAGCCAAGCATGCTGCATCCTCGTCCAAAGTGCTGAGTGCTGCAGTAAATATAAAGCTGCTAACACCATTAGCCTAAGACCTGAAAGGTACCATCTTCTTCCATGTGTCACTGGAAATGTGAAACCAGTAAGAGGAAATGGAAACCACAGCAAAGCCATTTATCAAAGTCATTTTCCTCCTCATTGCTCCAGAAGACTGTGGCCTAGTGCGCAAACTGTGCATGTGTGCAAATATAGTATGATCATATATATTTATACATTGATACATATTTTGCAGGATGGCTCTGAAACTCTGCTGAGGAGCATAATCAGAAAATATGGTATACGTATGAACTGCTTTTCAATTTCTGAACAGCGCTGCAGGGGAAGAAAAGCCTAGCATGCTCAACACGTATGACTGTTTAATCTTTAACCCACTGATTAATTTAACATCCAACGTGCTTCCCCACAGAAAGAACACATGCACACACAAACGGTTTCGCTATTATTAGAGATTGAAACAAA